CTGACCTGAGGAGGGGTCTGTGTGGCTGCTCCTGCCGTGCAGTCCTCCTGCCTCCCAGGAGCCAGGCTGGGCACCAGCCAGATGGTGGTGACTCTTTCTGGATGTTTTTAAGGTTTGAACCTCTCCAGAATAAACATCCCCCAAGGTTTAACCCATCCGGTGCACTTTGCCCCCCTCAGCTTTAGTACAGTAGCAAATGCTGAGAACATAAACAGCAGCGAAGAGCTGCTCCTGCATCAACAGCTAGATGGGGAACAGCTCCGCAAGGAAAGAGGGGCAACAGTGGATCCAGGCAAACACAGAATCACCAAGCACTTCACCAGGATTTCTGTTTTTGAGCACTGCTGATGTGCCAGGGAGGAAACCAGCATCTCTCTTACCTCTCGAGGAAGCTCAGGCACTCCTCCAGGCACACGGCTCCCACTCTCTCCCTCAGGCTCTCACTGATGCGCTGGGCAGCCTCTGCCTTCTCCATTAAAACCTGTGCGTTTCGAGACATGAGAGGAGAATGGGCTGAAGCCATTTTTTCTTCCTGCAGTGAGCAGGAACACGTTCCATCCTTCACCCTGCTGCAAATCCCTCTTCCTTCTTAGGGGAGCGGGTATGTTTTGGTTTGGAAAGCCCTTGCACAGAAAAAGTTATTCAGTAGGAGCCCGACTTGCACATCCAATCTGCACCTTTGCTACTGCTGCTTCCACTGCAGTGAGCGGGGTGCAGAAGTCGGGGAAAAGTCTATCCCTACAAACGCTCATTGCTCGCAATGTCCAGCAGTGCTGCCCAGATCCTGCAAAGATTTTGCTGCCTGTGGGAACGCCTGCACTTCCGTGTGACTCCCCCTTGCAGATATATTTGGATGCAGCCATTAAAAACAGTTAGGCAGCTCTCAGCTGTGCACCCTGCACCTTGCCAGGGTCTCTATCAGGGATGCCTGAACAAGATAGGTGTCTAGTTCCTGGCTCCCGCAGCTCCCGCCTGACACAGCAATGCATATTAAATCCCCCGATACTTGTCTCACCCCACTGACCCCGTTTGGCGCCTGCAGTAGGTGGGCCACATCAGACAGCTAAAAATCCATCCAGTATTGGACAGGACCGAGCAGGTGGCAACTTAATGCTGTCCATTAGTTGCTCTGTGGAAACAAAAGCTTGCAAGGGGAGGGAAGCCAGATGGATAAAAGGAGCCAGATGGACAGACTCCTGTGCTGGGCTCTCCCAGCGCTCCAGGAAGCGTCAGCAAGACAAAGGGTGACTCACATCACGAATGGGTTTTTCCGCTGCTCACAAGAAATATAAAAGCTTACCAAAAGGGACAGCAGAAAACACGCTTCCCCAAGGTGTCAGGAAACCATGGCTGATGAGTTTCCATGACGCCTGTTCCTCGTCTAACTGATCTTTAGGTGTCAGTCTGAGAAAACTGAGGAGGCAGTATTTTTGTAAGGATTGCCTATTTATACAGCCAAGGCCTGGGGGGTTGCTGCGGGGGGAGCACTTGCAGCGCTGCCCACACACTGCAGCCGGCACAAGACAAGCCGACGGAGCAGTCGCCTCTGTGAGCCTGGGTCTGCCACTGTGCTGCAAAAGCCACTTTTTTGCCTGCTGAAGGCACATCTTTGCAAGGGAGGCTAGCTGCTGTTGACCTGCAAGGTGTAGCGCTGGTCCCGGCAGCGTGTCCGGGGCAGTTTGCCATCCTCCAGGACCATGGGGCTACTTCCCTCTCTCCTAACCCAAAACAGGGCTGCCACTCTGGGTAGTGGCCGTGGAGAGGGGAGGAGAAAGATACAGTCAGAGAAGCTCCTGAGCTGCCCCTGGTCCCTAGCATCACTGAATCCACATGGAAACCCCAGGATTTATTTTAAGCCTTCTGCGGATCTTGATCCAAACACCCTCTGGCAATTGCTCACAGATCAGCAGAGCATGCTTCAGCGGGGCCCTTCGAGGGCTCAGCTTGGCCGCGGTCCCTCGCGCTGCCCGGGCAGCCGGGGCAGCAGTCGCAGCTGCGCGCACCGCACGGAGCGGGCGAGCAAGCCGCCTGCCTCTTGCACGGCCAGCGGAGAGGATCTGCCGGGGTTTGGTAACTCCCGCTCGCTCTGTGAGCCTTCTCTGCGGCGATGCAGAGCGCGCGCAGAGCAAGATGGTTAAAAATACACTGACTTTCCAAAGAGCTATATGACATTCCAAGTGTGAATGCAACTGCAGCTTGAATCAGCTAATCTTGAGCTCATCTTTTTTTCGGTTAGTTTAGTTTTCCTTATATATGCCCAAGAGGAAAAACAGGTCTGGGGGCAAACAGGTGCATTTTAAGTACGTCAGCTAACTTGCAAGCTCATAACATGCAGAGCTTAGCCCAAGACGTGCAGAACTGCGTCCTCCCAAAACCCACACATTTGTGTGTAATGACATGACTACCCCAAAGGACATTAGCTTTTCAATTCCTCCCCAGTTTACCTGAATGACTGCAGCACTGGAACAAGGGTTTTTCCTAATGTCAAAGGCTTCTTTCAGGGCTTCCCCTACCTCCTTCTAAATAGTGTAAAAAAAAAAATAAAAGGAAAAAGAACAGTTGAGATAGATTACGACAGCATTTGCAATGGGTTAGCTTTCCCTGACTCTCATTTTGCTTTTGGACCAGACAAATTTCTGCCTCTATTTTCTGACCATCTCATTTAACCCAAAGCCTGGCTATTTTCCAGCTGAACTAATAACATTGTTCTGTTTCGTTCTACATGATTTGTTTGAGTTTAAAAGATTTGGAGCTTGCTTTCACCCCAGCGTCAGCTCGGGTTATGTGCAGTCTTCCTGAGTTAGCTTAACTCAAATGAAGGTGCGCACACAGCAAAACAATGCTTAGACCCAGCTATTGCCATTGTAGTTGAGATCTCCCACCCTTCCCAGCTCCAGCCAGCACCCACATAAACCAGCGAGTGTTAACTAAAAGTACTCCTTAACTTGAGCCAGGGGCTTCTGAGCGCAAATAGAAGTTGGGTTAGTGTTTAGAGCTACTGTGGCAGCAAGATGAGCCCCATGAGGCTGCATGATGGGAAGTTTCCCAAGACTTGGCTGGCTTGTGTTATTTTGAATGCACTGTAAAAACAAAACTAACACTGCAAAGGGCTCATTGTTTAAAACATCATCTGACCTTTATAGAGGCTTTAAACTCAGAAGCCTGGCTTAGTTATTTATTCATTTATTTCTCCATCTTTCTCCTGAGTAATGGAAAGTATGTAAAGTCGGATCTTCCATTTTTACCTTTGTTCTTGTCTTGCTGATGACTTAGTAAATTTATGGTTGTCACTTAAGAATTTCATCAAAGGTATATTCAAAATAACTGCTCTGCCATACTCATCACAAAGTGTTAATCAAACACAAATCAGCAGGTGTAAACAACCCAGCAAAAATTCCTTTCTTCCAGAGTGCTGTCACCTGACAGCACAATTGTATTAACATGATGTGCTGAGCTAACCCATATGAGCCGGACTGCACAAACACTCTTAGCCTGCCCCAATTGCAAGCTAAAATGCATGGGCTTAAACCAACACGAAGGTCTTGCTCCACAATGGGATAGAGCTTGTGTTTAGTTAGTAACTGCAGGGCAATAACTCGTTGAGCCAGAGTACTTAGTTGCTTTGGATTAGATGATGTGCCTGAACAAGCGCGAGCTTACCCATTTGTAGCCCTTGTGGTGACACCGGGCCCCAGGCTCCAGACCTCCGGTCTGGAGAGGACCAGGATTTCTGCTGCAACAAGCAGGCTCATAAGTAACCTCCAGCTACCTCCTTGTCCCTCCCTGTGTCACCAAGACGTGGCACCCCATGCAGGGAAAGCTTCAGATGTAAGCATGGTCAGTTCGCCAGTGCTGACTGCCCTTTTGACTGCTGCCTCTCAGGAAACACAAGGGGCCTAGTTATAACCAACACCAACTCAGGTGTCTCACATTTGTTCAACTGCTGTTTTAAAATACGCAAGAATTTAACAACCTTGAGGCATCAGCCTCTTTGTCATATATGGTCAAAATTGGCTACGATGTTCAACACGGGTGGGAGGGCACAGCTGACGCACAGGCAGGTAGGCAGAACGACTGCACGGCCTTATTCGTTTTGGAAGCAGCAGGTCCTCAGCCCAAATTCTCCAAAGCATACGCACTTCTCAGCTCTCCTGGTGTCCCATTGAGAAAATAGAGGGAGGAAGGGAGAAGACGCAGACCCAAGTGACCCCTTTGCAGATCACTCTAAACCCTCCTCAACTTTTGGTCCAGGTGTGAATGCCCTGGCCCTGCCATGTGCACTGTTGCACAAACAGCCCATTACGAGCTGGGGCTGCAGGAACAGGGGATAGAAAGTTCATTTTCCACCTCTCGGTGTTTGAATGAAGCTTGACAACATTTTTGAATATTTGCCTTGCACAAGTGTCTAATTTCCTGCCGCTGCAAGGACAGGGTGACTCATCAACAACCCAACAAACTGCACCATAATTTCTTGTTCACCAATTTTGCAACTCCTTTAACTTCAAAAGGAGCAAAGCCCCCTCGCCTCATCATTTCAGAGCTGGGGTAAAGCAGCCTGACTGCAGAGCTGGCCAAGTTACCCACAGCAGTGCTGGAAACTCGCATTAGATCCCGCGTGGTGTTTGAGTGCTCAGCATCCTTTGATGTGGTCACAGCTCTCCTCACTCACTACTGTTGAAAGCGCATGCAAATGCTTTTAGTTTCCTCAGACAGCTGCCTGGCACTCCTGGTGACTAAGCAAGGTATTCATAGGCAAAACAGAATATTGCCCATTCTCTGCTCAGTTTCTTTTCATGTAGAAAAATTCAGTCATCCATTGAAGTGGCAAAACTAGCACCATGTGACTTACAGTTACAATTATATATTGTGATCAGGCATGGAACGTTTGCTCAATGTACATGTCATCTCCCTATGTATATGAAATAACAGAGGGCTGGAGTACGCTAGAAAAAAAGAAATAATGGGATAGAGAAGGTTTTATAAGCTATGCCAGTGAGCCAGGTGAAGAGACATTCATAACTTTTCCGTGTGGAGCCAGTTCACGTCCACTTAATCTCGTTAGACTGAATTTGGGGCTGGTCCTACCAGACGTGAACCTAGCTGGGACGCTGCCGTATCACGCTCCCCAACAACCCACACTCTGCTCACTGATGCGCAATGCAGCACCATGTAGCACTGCAATGTTTCCAGAGCCAAAGTGGCCTGAAAAAATACAGCCAACTTGGGGCAGCACTGCACAAGTGCTAGCAATGACTGCCAGACCTGGGCAAGCCTGCTCCATGCAAAGTGCCCATGAATAAAGGAAAGTTTCCTCCAGTCAATATGTCAGAGGAAAAAAAGGTTAAATTTACTACTGATACTATTCCGCATCTTTAAGGGTTTGTCGATGACTCAGTGGCATGCTCTAAGACGACCTCACTAGCACTGCCCTGAGTACAGTCATTTCCTTCACTGAAATATGTGCTAAAGTCAGACCTTAAGAACAGGTGGTCTTGCTCAAGGTAGTGATTTGAAACAGCCCATAAGGATGCTTAATGTCAATCAGTACATGAAATCTTAAGTTTTAAGCACACTGTTACCAGCTGGTGCCTGTACTCCCACGTCTGTGACTACCTTCGAGTTCTCCTGCAGAGAACAGGGCCTGAGAAGAATCGCTGTAACTCAGAGCACTTTCCTGTGGGTGATGCAGCAGTTTGCCGGGGAATTTCCCAAACTCTGCTCCCAGGGACGAATTGAAATGGAAATTGAGAGAAAAGATGAATGTGGTAATTCCTGCTGTTGCAGTTTGGCTTTAGCTGAATCTAGGAGGCCCTGCTGAATTTTCCAGACAGTGCGGTTTCCTTTGGTCCTCCCTGTTGCTGTAAGGCATCTCCCTTGTTTTGTTTGTATTCCACACGCCTAGACAGCATCCTTCAAAGGAGGAGCTTTGCTGGAAAAAGAAAGACATCTTGCAGCCTGGGAGCTGAGGTCATCTTTGGGACTGCAAAGCAGGACATCCTGCTCTGGCCTTGCAGAAGAGCTATGCTGGGTGTGCATTGGCTATCTGCTTTCTTGTGCTGGGCTCTGGGAATAATCTTTGCCATAACCTCACCTGTGCCTGTTTAGCAGGCTGGAGAGGGCTGCGAGAGGGTCCACAGACAGGCAAGTCCAGCAGCCCCAGCATCCTGCATAGCTAATGCAAAGGTGCTACAAAAAACTGTCCTACACTGTAGATTCATTAACAGCCAGAGAAGATGAACAGCTGATGGAAATGGCCCTCAGCTAAGGGAGTGGGTTTCACCTATAGCCTCACTTTATTCCAGACATATTGGTTTCTGAACAGATTTCAGCACTATGAAGATGCAGCAACAGGATGAAAAGAGACCGTGCAAATGTTCCAGCATCCCTTTGCTAAGGAGCATCCATTTGGCAGGAGACAGCCATGGATCTTCACACCAGGGCTTCTCAACGAAATTGCTGATAGCTCGGTGTGAAGTGAGGGCCACAAGTCGGTCACAAACCACTGCTACCTTCACCAGCACATGTGAGACTCTGGGGTGCATAGCCAAGGTAGAGCCTTTGGGACCCCCCAGAGCCCCAGTGGAGCTGGGGGCAGCCAGTAAGGGGGCAGGTAGCCTAAAAAGAGCATTCTTAATTTTAAAACTTTGGGAATAAAACAGGTAGATTGAGGTAAAACTCCTGAGTTCTTACCTGGGTGACTGCAAGTAACTTTTCCTCTGTCTTCAAAATAATCCACACGAGGCACTGTGCGTCAAGGGAAAGGCTGTGGTGTGGGGTCTGCCTGGGTCCCAGCAATGTCCTGTTGCCACTGCGTATAGAAAAAAAGAGCTCAGCCAGAGGGGTGATTCGTGGACCTTCTCCCACCTCAGCACCAGCACCTCTGCTTTTTGCCATTGGCTCATGCTACGCAAATAGGATGACCAGCAAACACCCAGCAGTGTTGGCAGTGCCGGAGTAGCCCCAGGAAGACTGATGACATTCATTCAGCCCTTTTGCCAGTTACTCTTTTTTGCTGTTCTTCTCTTCCTCCTTCCTATATTTTCTGCCCTTTTTACACCTTCTGCTCTCCAATTCCCCACCCCCCCGTCCTTACCCACACACTGCTCCCTACATGGACCATCTTACAAGTCTCATATACTATCTCTGTATTGAAAGGGAACTATAATAAAACGCTTTTAGGTACTGGGACCACTGCATCTACACTTGAGCATTTACTAAGGTTGTAATTGTATTCAGAGAGGAAAATCCAAATAGTCAAACTTTTTTCCCTAAAGTCAATCTGGTATCTCTCCTCTTCTCATTTCCACTTTCTTCACGGTCTTTTCCCTCCAACCACAGTCACTGGTCCGCTCTTGCGTTTTTTTTTCTTGAACAAATTTAGCATTGGCATAACATGTATATTTTTTCCTATCTTTGTGCTTTTCTTTATATATTTAAATGAAGTGATTATTCACCCCCAATGCCATATAAGTTTTTGATATGTCATCAATCCATTACTCATACCTAAAAACAAAGCTTTGCTGTTTTAAACCTATAAAAGTACCAGTAGAATAGTACTGTCCACATTTTTCCTGTACGTCTGAGGACAAAAGGGCACGCACCAAAGGGTCCCCATCACTCTGCCTTCTTGGGGAGGAGGGGAGAGAGCCCATCTGATGGACTGTTTACAAGCTGGTCAAGTGTTTATGAGTGCAATTAATATAAGGAAGAGAAGCTCCAGGCCAGAATGGAAGCAAATAACCCAAATAGGCTGAAAACCATTAGGACAAAAATGGATAAGAGCTGTCAAGCAACAAAGTAACCATGGATATGGAGACTCATACATCTCCCTCATGTTGTCCTACAGAAAAGAAATCACAAGAAAGCAAAGCAGATTGAGGCTTTGATAACACCTGCTGGCATTCTCAGTGAAAGCCTTTGAGTTCATATGGGGCCAAGAGGTCCCAAATGCGCTGATCTTCTGAACACAGGGTAAACCATATCTGTTTTATCAAGCTTGTTAGGAATTTAGTGATTTGCTGTATTTTTTCCTGTGGTCTGAACACTAACACAGGAAATATGGAAAAAAACTGGCAGAACTACAAGCCAGATAAGACTGCAAGAAAGCCTAGGAGAAAAGAGAGGTCCAGATAACATAATGCTTACATAAAGACAAGAGAAAATTATTCTAGAGTAAAATACTTGCTAAAAAGAGGCTCATAATTATGAGCAAATGAACTCCTGGCAGCTTGTTCAGGGAAGCAGGATTCTGTGCATGTCCAACAGGAGTCCAGCAGGGAAATATCTGCATACCTCAGATAAGCCCCTGAGCATAATACAAAGGATTTAGAAAAGGCAATAATGCAAAGAAAAAAGATCCAGGTTCTCTCAGAAGATAAAACAGGCAATGGGCAAGCCTAAACCCAGCAATAGCTGTTTGTTTTCATGTTTTCAGAGCTGCTGTAATAACAGGAAACAGGGATTGCGCTCAGAACTGAGGAAAAGGGACAATGACAAGCGTAGAGAAAAGGAAATCCTTTCAACATACCTTTTGTACACTTTAAGGCACCATTCGTAAACTAAAAGACATTGGCTGAAGCTAACATGGTCATTGTCAGTAAGGGTAGAAAGGTGAGAAGACAAGCAGGCATGACAGCACCGGCTGTACATGACAAGCAGTCCTGCTTCCTTGAAGAAACCACTTTTGTGCTCCAGGCTGGGCAGAAACATCATTTCCAGTTGACTCAGATGCTGTTTTAATGCAGTCTCGTCTGTGTTACTAGCAGAATCGAAGGGGGGAAGCTGGGCTGTCATGTACTTTATTAGCTTTTCCTCCAGGTCTTTCTTCCAAAACCTGGGACTCCAGGTGGAAACAGGTTCCATCCTTTGGCTGCTGCCAAACCACTCCTCTTCCTTCTGCTTCTCCCACTTCAGCGACTCGCCTACTGACTGCAATGGCTCCAGTAACATCCTGTCGCTTCCACTGAACACTTGTCCCACAACGGACCACATCCGTTCAGCCAGTAGCGTGTAAAGTGATTCAGACTTTCTCACACCATCGCTTCCAGAACACTCCAGATTATAAATATGATTACAAGCTTGAAAAAATTGCCCTTGCTCAATGAATCCACAGATGGTTTCCTCTGCAATAGAGAGAGTAACAACACAACTCGATGTTTGTTCACTCCTCTATAGGGCCTATCACTTTAATATCTGAGTACTGATGGGTGTAGTCCACCTGTACCCCAAACCCTCTCGGTATCTTTTCAAGGTCACCTCACTCGCTGAAGGCCTACCACTACCACCTCTGAGTTTTCTCAGGACAAATACTTTCTTTCTCCTTTCTACTTTCTTCCTATCTCTTCCAGAGTAAGCCAGCAGACCAGACTTGCAGTTTTGTGTGATCATCTCAGTAGATTTGT